TATTGGTTAAAAGCTATTGCTTTAAAATAGCAGCCACTAAACTTGCAAAGAATGTACCCAGAAGTCAGGGTAAGAACCCACACTCAGGTTTGTGCTCTTAACCTAATGTGAAGACAAATATCCAGTGAACTGGAAAGCAAAAAGTTAATAGACCTATGATATTTGAAGACAAAACTGCCAAGATCTGATTAGGGCGACTGGCGTCATCTTGGTTCCATCCTTACATACCTGGAGATGGATCTCCTGAACAAAGTGAATCAGAGGGAATATGAAGAAGAGTTCCTAATTCCAATCCAAGAAAGTGGAACTGCCAATGACATGGGATTTTGTTTGACCCTGACATGGAACTAGACATAATGGATGTTATCCTTGATAATAATGAGACCTACCTACAGAGACTACCCTGGCATAACAGATAATGTCAAAATGAGATCTAACTAGAGAGACAGGGCGAGTGAGTTAATATATCTTTTATTGGACCAACTTCTGTTGGTGAGAGAGCAGAGAGACAAGTTTTCATGCTTATTCAGAGCTCTTCTTCAGGTCATTCCAGTAAATTCTAGTCTACACCAGCATGACACACACTAACTGGCCTGCATGGACCCTACTGGCATGCACTCAAAATTCCCCAGCATGCATTAACGTAGTACTGTTTGAAAGAGATGGGACTAAATGCAGACTAGGAAACGTGTATGCTGGGGTCCAAACAGGTCAATTGACACACGATAAATGGTACAGACTAGAATTTACACGCATTGGTCCAGACTAATGCACCATGTAGACAAGCCCTAAATCTCAGCTGAGAATTGCAAATTACAAATTAAGTGCTTTCCTATTAGGCACTGTCACTATCTGCATGCTCATTTTCAGGTCAGTTTAGTACAATCAATATGAGAACACTTCTTAGGCATCTGCACCTGAAACAAATTGTTTGCCAAATGGAGGATGAATGTTCTGGGCACTAGATTCAGCGAATCTAGAGAAAGGTCTGAGCACCTCTGAACCACTTATGCAGTGAGGCTATAAGTCTGGTATACGATTCTCTTGAACCTGCAGAGCTGGATCTTCAGCAATGAACTGCTAAGTATAGAGTTAATGGGGCCAGAAAATGAAGGGTGGTGCACTGCTGGTACCGTATAGTCTGCAGACAAATCTTGACAAAGTTATTGAGGCTACAGCACCCATTTAGTAAGTGGAGTTTCAGAGTCAACAGCACTGACATTGGACCCAGCTGATTTGGACAAACCCTGAGACCTGGGTATTGCTGATTCTGGGTACCTACCCCCTATGACAAGCAGTTTACCCAAATTAACAGTGCTGGATCTTTAGCACCAAATTATATGAATTTAGAACAGATCTGAGGTTCTGCCATTTCAGTTGGGTACAGAATGACTTCCAACTAGTGGTTCACCATTGGTGATATATCTTTGGCACTGGTGGAACCAGGGACCTTAGTGCTTCTTATGCTGTGTGCCGAACCACTTCAAGCAAGTGGCCCATAAGAGTCAATTATACTAGATCTGCACCACTAGATCTCGTCAACCTGAATGGATGCTGTGACTTAATGTCACTTATATTGGTTCTGGATTACTTCAAGCAAGTCAACAGTGCTGAAACCTTGGCATCAAATTCAGATGATCCAGACTCTTTTGGGCATGTTAATGCTGTGTATAAGGAACATTGGGCCACTTCCTCAAGAAGTTCACCAGAGTCCACAGTACTAGATTGTAGGCTCTGAATTCAGTTGAACGTGGATGAATTAGTGCAATTTATAGTGGGCACCTAACAACACCCTGGTTCACTAGTCTATGGCGCCAGATCCTACACACAAACTTAAGTCAACCTGGAGGGATCTAGGGATCTTGGTGTTATGTCAGTGGTGCTGGGACCTCCACTGTGTGTTGGTAGTGCTGGGACCTTGACACTAGGCTTGGGCAGCCAGTTAAGACTGGGGACCATTTAAACCAAGCAAAGGCTCCAAAGCCAGAGATGCACTTACACGTTGCCAGATTTATTCAACTGAGCTTGAGAAGCCTTCACATCAGCAAAGTGAGAGGCACCTCTCACTCAATATAGGTCCAGAAGATATCCGTGCCAGATGGGGATAATTTTACTTTTGTTAAAAGAAATCTGTACTAACTGACAATCTAAACAAAAACAGCCCTGAGAGGGCAAGAGAAAAGCAAAAACTGAGGAGGGAAAAAATCAAGGATACTGTGCATTATCCAAGCTCCGAACACCTTTGGCAGTTAATAAGGACCCGAGGGGCAGTTGGGGACACTGCTCCTTCTATACCCTTGGAATCCTCTGTCAGGGGAAAGTGAGGGAGGGGCAAGTGACCCCCAATGGACAATACTCTTCAGAAGATTCCAGAGCTCACCACTAGGAGTTGCCAATCCTAAGGGGAATATGCAGAGACCATTCAAAGTAAGGCTCTAATATCCTATAATCGACCCCTTTTATCCACCCAGTTCCTCTTTTTTTACTCTAAATTAAAAAGAGAAGGGATCCTGTTATTCCCCAATTTAAAAAAAAAATCCCATAGGAAACTGATTCTCATAGTTTCTAGTCTTATCCAACAGGACATCTAATAATTTGTTTATAAAATTCATATGCTCTAATATACTTCTGCTTCTTATTGTTCAAGATGAGCAACTGTGATCTAAAACAAACTGACAATACAGAAACCTCCCATTTTCTAGATTTGCAAGTCAGCAGATGTTTATCCTTTTGCTTCAGTGCCTGTTGATTATAAAATGCTGTTCTGGGCAGGTATCTGCCTGGAGCTAATTTAAAAACTCAGCCAATTATGTAAAAGAGAGATATTTTCATGAGGAAATGAAAGCTAGCAGCTGAGACTGTAAAAAAAAAAAAAAAAAAAAAAAATGAAATCCATGGAAAGTAAGGCAGCCAGCTCATTCACATTCTGGCTTGAGTATAAATGTTTAATCAAAAATGGATCCAGGAAGTCAGAAGATAAATAAAATTTCTTTGAGGAATCTCTTATTTTTAGGGTAACAGTCCATGATTTTGAATTCCATTGTTTTGTTTCCTTCAATTTCAGATATTTTCTTAATTTTATAATATATAAAAACAGAGAAAGATTAATGTTGAAATTTTATACAAATGTTTCCTCTACTTCCATCCTGCTCCATGATGTGTTTAGGGGTGAGAACATTTAGTTTCTTCTCCTTTCCTCTTCATATGGAGAGGGTACACTGGAGAGGGACCTAGCAATTCCAGTAATATGAGACGGTGCATCTGTGCTCTTCTTTAATTAGTGTGATACCGCTCTTGTGGCCAGTATGCTGCCGGGCTGAGTAGGGATAGTTTTCCACAGGGCCATGCACTGAGGAGTAATTCCACATTCATTACAGAAAAGCACCAATTACAGTAAATACCACTATCATGCTTATTGTATTCCTTTACTAGTTTCAGAAGATTAGTATGCAACTGAATCCTTGAGGCTTGCACAATGCATCCTTACTGGAGTCCAGACAGTTGTTGGAAACATTGGCTCCAACTCATAAATACAGAATATGTTCTGGAAACTTTCAAAGATCAAAGTTTTTATAGCTCCCTTTGTTATTCAGGGCCTGATTCATAATTGATTGAAGTCATTGGAAAAACTCTCATTGACTTTAATGAGATTTGTATCTACCCCTCAGTGAACTCAAATATTTAAGTGCATGAGGTAACAGAAGCAAACCAGAGGCAGCTTAAAGTGAGGAACATCATTTAAATTCACACATTTTATTCATGAAGTAGCATAGTTTAAAAAATATTTCATACATAGCAATTAAATAATAAAAAACCAAAAAGCACAATTTATATACATTAGTCTTTCCTTTTTGGAAAATTAATGTATAGATAATTGATGGAGGTTTTATGTAATGCTGGTCAAATTATTTTGTTGGAAAGTTTTCATCCAATTTTTGGCAATACGTCCAAAAATGGATATTTTAAAGCATTTTGATTTTCTTAACATTTTATTATTTTCAACCTAAGCTTTTTTCTTTTTCCATTTTTTGTTGAATGTTCATTGTTTTATTTGTACTTGTTTATCTTTTCCACTGTCAATATTAACTAGTCGCCTTAATCAAATGTTAAGATTAAAAACTTCAGGTTTTTCAAAAATCTCAATAAAAATATATTTGAAAGTGAAAAATATTTAACAAATATTCTACTACATTTTTGGAAAGTAAATTGCCAGTCAGTTTTGAAATACAGCAGAATGAAATTATCTTCAAAATTCTGTGAACTTTTTCTCGCCATCCCAAACATTCTAGTTTTGAGTGAGGCCAACTCAGCTGAATGTTGTCATATCCTTTAACAACCTCAGCATACACACTAACACACTATAAATATTGCCAAGAAGATACGAATTCCTCAACCTCCAAAAGACTTACACAATGGGGATTGGGTGCCCAGCAGCCTTAGACTCCTTTGAAAATGCTAGCCTATGAGTAGCCTCAACATAATGTTAAGCATCTGCTTAAGCCTTTGTAGAGTCAGGGCCAAAAAATGCATCTCTGCCACCACTTCCTCACACAAAACACTAACTTCTATACTCTGGAGAAAATGGGACAGCCCCAGCTGCTCACCCCCCACCGTCCGGCACGAGGCAGTCACCCTGAGGAGGGCCCCGTCAGGAATCGGTCACCGGAACCTTGCAGGGGGCCCCCTGTCGCCTGTCACTGGAACCCTGCCAGGGCCCCACTGGCTGCAAGCTCCAGAGTCCCGCAGCCCCTGGGGCTGAAGCAGAGAATGTCATGGAGGTCTCTGGACGTCACAGATTCCGTGACTTCCATGACCTCCGTGACATAAACGTAGACTTAAGCATGAGTGTCTAGTAGAATTTGTCCTGACCTACACAAGTCAGTAATGGTCACCTTATCACAATTATGACTCAAAAGGATACCGTTATCTAACAAAGGACAAGCCTTTACAGGCTGAAAGGCTTCTACTGGGAGACAGCATTTGAAATGAATATATCTTACCTTCACACACTGGGCAGCATTCCCCAGGTACCTTAACAGGATTCAGGCAACTCTGTCCACAGGCTGTTGCCACACAGTGAGGGTCTCCATTGATACACTGGCAGAAAGTGCAGTCATCTTCTCTCCATCGATCTCCATGTGCTTGGATCTGACCATTGGCATAGCAGCCAGCAGGGTTATTAACTGGATATACTGGATCTAAATCAAGATAAATTATAGTAAGAGGAGACTGTTTATTCTCCCTGTTATGCCTGGAAGATATTTATAGATGTGCAATTTGATAACACCTTTATGGAGGCTGGCCTTGAGACTCTTTTCCTTTTCTGGAAAAGAACCCAACACATTCATGGGGACTTGGTACTCAGGCAGGTGATGGGTTTGGAGCAGCGGTTCTCAAACTGAGTCAGGACTCCAAAGTGGGTCGCAACCCCATTTTAATGGGGTCGCCATGGCTGGCATTAGACTTGCTGGAACCCAGGGCTGAAGCCCAAGCCCCACTACCCAGGGCCAAAGCCCAAGGGCTTCAGACTTGGGTGGTGGGGCTCGGGTTACAGGCCCCCCCACCTGGGGCTGAAGTCCTTGGGCTTCGGCTTTGCCCCTACCCCAGGGCTGTGGGGCTCAGGCTTTGGCCCCCCTACCGGGACAGTGGGGTTTAGACAGGCTCAGGCTTCAGTCCCCGCTCCTAGGGTCATGTAATAATTTTTGTTGTGTCAGAAGGGGGTCATGGTGCAATGAAATTTGAGAATCCCTGGTCTGGAGACTCAGGTAACTTCTTTTTCACTTACACTTGACTAGAAGATTGAACCCTTTTCTTTCAGGGGCTGACCTTGCCACTGTGATCCATGCTTTAGTCATCTTCAGATTAGGCTACTGTAATATGCTCTGCATAGTACAGCCACTTGGAAATTCAGCTGGTACAAAATGCAGCATCCTGATTGGAAAGAGTGCTTATGACAGGAATCAAATTGCTCCAGGATGCACACAACTCTCAGTAAATTTCCAAGTTATTTTAAGGTATTGGTTTTAAACTATGCAACACCTTAAATGGGTTGGATCATGGTTACCTCAGAGACCACCTCTCTTCCATGTGATACCATGAAAGATGAGATCCAGTTCAGGCCCTGTTTTGACAGACAACAAATATGGATTTCAATTGTGCTAGCTCAATGTCATTAGTTTAACATAACTGAAAAGCCCATTCAATGCTTTTTAAGAAGGTTTTTCAATCATGTTAAGCTAGCTCGACTGAGCTCACACGATTGAACCCACACCGCTTTTGTCTTGATTTTCGTATCTGGGCATGGTCTCAGATTTAATCACAGAAGACTGGGGGCTGGACATTCTCCGTTAGAGTTCCTTGACTATGGAAACTGCTACCTTCCGCAGAGCCCAAATCCATGACCTCCAAGTCACACTGCAAGGATAGTTTGTTCTACCATTTTTTTTTCTCAAATGAAGAAATGACGGTCATCGATGAAGCAGCGTACACAAATTGGAGTTGTTGGTATCAGGATGTGTCTATTATTTTAGTTAGATGGTTTGAATTGTAATTGTTTTTATAAAATTTGTAGATGCCCAGAATGTTAGATGGATGTATATTTTAAAATAAAACTAAATAAAACCAATACTTCAAGTCTCTTGGCCTCTGGTGATCCCAGTGCATTCTGAGGCATAATGCCTGACAGCAGGTAATTTGAATCAAATCTCAAATTCAAATATAAGAACAATTATTGAGGTGACAATCGGGGTGCTGCAGATCCAGCCTGGGGTAGGAAGGACTAGAGTAAGCCTAAGACGGATTAGAGCCTAATAACAAGTGTTGAAAAGTTTGCACTTGTGAAGAACACAAACATAGTGTAAGTGCACATTGGTGTAATTATATTAAAAAAATTGATAGGAGACTGGATGTTCGAATGCATAATATAGTTCTGCGGTCACTAGGAGAGGGGATATCAAAAGGATAGAAAAAAGTTAGGGAGTGTCTATTCCCCAGTAGTTGCATCTATGCACGTACAGATAATCTTCACAGAAGTGGAAATTCTTAGACTTGTTAGAAATATTCTATTGGACATACTCTTTCACCTACCTAGCACCTCTATGTACTCTAAATATAAAAATGGTGTAGGGATTTTTGCCCCAACTTTCAAATACAACCAATTTAGACAAATTCAGCTGAAAATATAGGTGCTGACTCTGTGGGTGCTCCGGGGCTGGAGCTCCCATAGGAAAAAAACAGTGGGTGCTCAGCACCAACCAGTGGCCCCGCTGATCAGTTCCTGCACCTCCCGCCGGCTAATGATCAGCTGTTCAGTGGTGTGCAGGAGGTACTGGGGCGAGGACCAGGGGCAGGAAGAGGCAGAGTGAGGGTGGGGCACACTTGGGGGAGGGGGCAGAACAGGGCGAGAAGAGGTGGGGTGGTTCAGGCGTGGGAAGAGGTGAGGTGGGGCCTGAGGCGGCGCACGGGATGATCACCGCTGGGGAAACCAGAAAGTTGGCACCTCTGGCTGAAAAGATTTTTTTGTTTGTTTGTAAACTTACAAGGAAGAGAAAAACTATTTTGCACCCTTAACTAGAGTAAAGTGGACATTAGCAAGTGAATGCTATAATATTAAAAACCTCATGTTAAGAGACTTTCATTTCCAGATTGTTCTAATTTATATACTATGTAGGATTGCTATCAAATCAGGTTTCAAAACAGTGTGGCCTTCTACATTAAACAATGTAGAATAAGCATACACAAAAATACAAACTTAGAGAGTAAGGTCCTGAAGTATGAAATCTATTTTTTTGAACTTTTGTATATTGCGTGTGTATAATTAGCAAACAGACTGCATTTTGTTTTCTAACTGTTGAAAGGCCAGGAATTTACATTGGTGAGACAAGTTCACCCTATAAACCATCTGGTTAAGTTGTTATTAACAGCCGGTGACCTTAAGACATAAAGTAAGCCTTCCCCTGCACCTTTTGGGACTTAGCATTTACATCAGATTGCGTGCTTAGTCTCTTTTGTAGAAAAATCCTTTTCTCCTCCTTCCTCCCTCCCCCAATTTTGCATAATACAGAGACATACATACCACAATAACATTACTTTGCCCTATCAGGTCAAGTTCAAAGCTTTAACAGTTATTTGCATTACTCTGTACAACACAGTTTCATCTCTTGGGATTTAAAACTCCCCGACCTGCTTCCTTGCATCTTATTTTCTTTAGTAACATGTGCCTCAGGGCATGTTATTGTAGTCGTCATGCTTATATTTGGGAATATACCTCTTCATACGGAGATTTCCCTTCAAAATTCATGCAAATGAATACTACTATTCTACATATGCTTTCCCACAATTAGGAAGAAAAGTATATTTTGATCTTCAGGAATGTACTAAACTCATCCACATTAGCAACAATGCTGATATATTTTGTCCGCAAACACAAAACGGAAAAATATGCATCTCTATTATAATTTTTTTAATTAGAAATCAAAAAGCAAGCAGTAATTCTAGATTACAAAACAAACAATAACAACTCAAACTAGCATTGCATTAGAGATACAGCCAACATTTTAATAGTTAACACTAGCAACTAATAACAGGAGCAAATCCCAAATACGTGCAGAGATACACTTTCCTCTACCCTTAGGTTAAATTCCAGCCCATAGAACATTAAGGCTGCAAAGTCAAGCAGTCAAGTTATTGAACATCAGATTTTTTCCGCTTTGTGTGGGTATTCATTATAATAAAATTGGATGCAACTTTGAGCGACATGATCACACAGTACTTTTTTAAAGGACATCGGTTTCATTCAGTCACAAGATGGTAAATAAGCAAAAATCTTTAAAAGAAATATGAATGTTTTCTTTTGGTCAAGGCACTGGACTGGAATCTCAGGACTGCTAAGCTCTTTACATCATTCTGCCCCAAAAACTTTTTATACAATGATGGCCAATACTATCAAAATGCACAAACACAAAAGAGGCAAAATTAAGGCTGCCCAGACAAGCTTAATTCTTAACTTTTGAGGTGTCTTTGCAACCATAATGTTCTTTAAACTTACGTGTGTTTTATGTCATTATTTAATTTTCTTACCCCAAACCAATACAAACCATACTCATTGGAAAAGAATAAGGAAATCTCTTCTCATAAAACTCTATAGGTTGGATTGTGACTAGCCTTTATACAAATGCAGAAGGAGAGCACCGAGAGGTCTCACACAAGAAATGGATGTATAGAGCAAGCCTTGCATACTCGGGGACAGTATATTACACTCCTTGAAGGGGTGTAACAATCGCCACACTCCTCCTTGCTTTCAGAAAAATTCTGGAAGAATTACGAGGCAGAAATCTTTCTGCAGCGTCTGCAAGATTGGTAGGTGCCTGCACCACTACTTGTGAGCTTAAAAGTAAATGAAAAGAGCACGGAGGATCCATCAAGAAACACAATTCAAATCTTCAGGAAAATGTAAGTAGACAAAATAAGCAACTGTAACGAGAAAGGAAACACTGAGGAAAAGAAAGTCCACAAAAAATTCACAACACTCAGAATGGAAGAAGCAGGAAAAGAGGAGAGAGAAATACAAGTAATGATGTGTAATGTCTGCACCAATTGAGGAAGAAAGTATTTAATTGATGTCTTTCTAGCTTCTATTTAACATACGCCACTTTGGAAATTCAAAAAGAAATGTTATCATACAAGCAACGGAGACAGCTAACTTTGAGGTGTGTCATTTGGACAGAATTTGATTTATTAAGATAGGGGTTGTAAGAGGTTTTATATCCAATTGCAACAGAGTGCTGGAAATGAGCAACTGAACTAGCACTCTGGTCACTGTTTAAACAATTAGTCCCCCCAGACAGCCTGATTAAGGAAGTTCCTGATTACCAGATCAGATTGGGGACAGGTAAATTATGAGCTAATTAGCTATTAACAAGGAGACTGGATAAAAGAGCACCAGAAGGAAGTGCACAGTGGAGGACAATCAAAAGAGAGAGAAAGGCTAGCAGGGCCTGATAAAGGGAGCTCTCTGGGTGGAGAGACCTTTTCTCACCTCCACCACCTGGGTAGAAAAGGTAGTTATGCTGAATGTCTGTGTAAATAGTATGGCCGCATGAGTATGTAAAAGGTGGTGAGACGAAGCACAGTAAATAAAGTACAGGGTGATATCTCCAAAAGGAAGATCAATGAACAATGTATGACAGCAAAGATGACAGGAGCAGGGCATGCCCCATCACACCAAGAGAAGTAGTAAAATTATAATCAGCTCCTTGATTTTCACGTGGCACTGCGTTGCATCCCGGCTGTATCCTCTCTCCGTCATGGCTTTTGAGATCTTTTCGTAGATCTTCGCATTCCGTCTTTTCGCAGCTCCGAAAGCACAGACTCATCGCCCCACACAGCGATCAGATCCAAGACTTCCCGATCAGTCCATGCTGGGGCCCTCTTTCTATTCTGCGATTGCATGGTCACCTCTGCTGGAGAGCTCTGCATCGTTGCCAGTGCTGCTGAGCTCGCTACGCTGTCCAAACAGGAAATGAGATTCAAACTGGCCAGACAGGAAAAGGAATTCAAATTTTCCCGGGGCTTTTCCTGTGTTGCTGGTCAGAGCATCCGAGCTTGGACTGCTGTCCAGAGCGTCAACAGAGTGGTGCACTGTGGGATAGCTCCCGGAGCTATTAGCGTCGAATTCCGTCCACACGAACCCTAATTTGACATGGCCATGTCGAATTTAGCGCTACTCCCCTCATCGGGGAGGAGTACAGAAATCGATTTAAAGAGACCTCTATGTCGAAATAAATAGCTTCGTTGTGTGGACGGGTGCAGGGTTAATTCGAATTAACGCTGCTAAATTTGACATAACCTCTTAGTGTAGACCAGGCCTCAGAGAGAGCCAGCCACCTAACCTCATCCAAAGGGACACAACTGAGTCAAAAGGGATGTACAGAAGAAAGGAACAAGTAATTGGCTTGTCAGTTACTGAAAAGCCAGAGACCATACTTCCCTGACATGAAGATATGGGAGCCATGCCAGAAAAGGAGGCATATAAGCAGCAAGCCAGACCAATGTCAGACAACCAGGCAAATGAAGCAAGAGCCTGACTGTTGTATCAGACAAGGCCAAATTAAAAAACAGCTGAGACTAAAAACCAAACCTGAGAGACGGTTATTGTTTGTTTTGTAATCTAGAGTTGTTCTGCTGACAACTGTCTAATCACTATCTATTGTATCCGGTCTACCAGGAACCAGCCACGCCAAGAGAATTCCATTTGAAGTATCCGATATCCTAACTCGCAACATCTAAGAGAAAATAAACTAATTCACTTGGCAGTCCCATTCGCAGTGTCTCAGATGAGGAAAAGTAAAGCTGATTTTTTTTAAAAGCAGTCTAACATACTGAACCATTTGTCAGAAAAACTTGCTGACAAATGACGTATCATCAACTTTTCAACAAACATGAGAGATCATGGGCCACCTTCTTTGTGGTGTAACTATGGCAGAGAAGTTGCCCCTATGTTTGAGTGTATGAGAGTCATTTAGATACAAGTGATCAACATACCATAAAATCTCCAGAAAGAGAGGTTTCCACATCATTAATCAAATATTGTTTAATTTCAATTGACATATATATTTATATTTATAAAGGTCTAATCCTGGAAATTTTAGGCATACAAGCAGTCCCACTGAAGCAAAAACCCCATCCACTTAAGGCAGTGGTTCTCAGTCTTTCCAGACTACTATACCCTTTCCAGGAATCAGATGAGTCTTGCATACCCCAAGTTTCACCTCAATTAAAAACTACTTGCTTACAAAAATCAGATATAAAAATACAAAAGTGTCACAGCACACTATTACTGAAAAATTGCTTACTTTCTCATTTTTACCTTATAATTATAAAATAAAATCAATTGGAATATAAATATTGTACTTACATTTCAGTGTACTTGATGCCTAAGCCCCGCCACCCAGGGTTGAAGCATGTAACTTAGCTTCGTAGGGCCCCCTGTGGCATGTGGCCCCAGGAAACTGTCCTGCTTGCCACCCCCTAACGCCGGCCCTGAACTTGTGACTCCCCTAAACCTGTCCCACAAAGCCTATCAGGGTCATGATCCCCAGGTTGAGAAACACCGAATAAGGCAAATATCTAGATGAGTTAACCTACCTCTGGGTTGGTTAACCTCTGCGTACCCCTGACTGAGAACCACTGAGTTAAGAGAACTACTCATGTGAGTAAAAAATACACACTCTGTTGAGCAATGGTTACATAATTGATCCAGAGTTAACATTGAAAGAGTATGTTGTCACATGCAATATTCAGTGCTCTCCAGGCTGTAATTAAATACTTGACTATATCTTTAAATACCTGGAAAACCTGCAGTCAGTTAAATATTTCTACCTAAGTAACAACAGCAGCAACATTTAACTTTTATAGCCCCTTTCTTCTATAGATCTTAATGTACCTTAGAAACGTCACTGAATTCATCCTTATACCACTAGTGTGATGTAGGAAAGTGAAAAATCCATATTTACAGACGGAAAAATCAAGACACAGGAAGTTTAAGGGACTTGCCCAATATCACACACTAATTTTGCAGCTGAGCTCAGAACAGAACCCAGATCTCAACTCTTAGGGCATGTCTATACTACTGCTTAAACCAATTTAACTTATGTTGCTCAGGAGTGTGAAAAAGACACCTCTCCCGAGAGACGCAAGTTACAGCGACCTAAGTTCTGTTCACACTGGCGCTATGTTGGCAGGAGATGTTCTCCCGTTGGCACACAGTCTTCACCAGATGCAGTGCAACTGCGCCAGTGTAGCGCTTTTAGTGTAGACCTGCCCTTAGTCATAAGCATGTGTATTAATAAATTACAAAATAAGAACATGTCACAAAAGACAACGACAATATACATTCACATCCTACAACCACGAAAAACCCCTCAAACAAGCCAAAACAAACCCACCAATCAGAGCAGGACAAACTGAGGAGTCTCACAGCATGCTCTGATGTTCAAGAAACATGAGTTTCTGTCAGATCAAAGGGAGAAAGCCATCTCCTTGCTGAAGGCCCTCCACTGAGAATGCTCGTCTCCAGCCTCCTCATGTATAAATCTGGACACGGTTAGATTGAGCATCCTGGCTTATCTCACTTGCTCACAAGTGATCTGAAAGAAACACAAGACCTAAACCCTAAGGACCAAACCAATACATATTGAATATACTGAACACTTTAGCTAAGGAGCAGCTGCTCAAGCTAGGCAATTCAGAACTCATCTGGATCAACTCCTCTAAAAGCGTAATGGAAAAGGAACCAGGTTGGGGCAACCCCCCCACCCAATAACTCAAAGAGCTCTCTCTCTGCTTCCTGATCTCAACAAACTCAAGTTTTGGCAGCTTCAACCACCTAAGAGTGGTAGCCGTCCTTGGAGACATGGCTGGCAAAGGATGCGTCAAATATTTTCTTGTCCCAATGCTCGTGCAAGCCAGAGGTTAATGTGAGACTTCCTATATAATCCTTTTTAGGCCAATGAGACTGTCACCCGAAGTGACAGAGATCACAGCAGCATGGCATGCAGAGAAGGCGGCTGTCAAGAGGAGAGAGAGAGAGCAGCCCCCTCTCAGACTGGGTTAGACTGTTACCACAAGCATTCCATATGCCTTCCCAGTTCGGAAATAAACTGCCATAAATGCAAAGCAGAGATATCCATGTCATGCTCGACGGGAAGCAGAAGGAAGTCTGGGATTTTTTTGGGCAGGGTGTTAATTAATGGGAGACTTCTGCAACAGAGCAGTCCTTCTACCTGTGTGGATACGGAATCAAGGAGCAGCGTCCGCAATACAAGGCCTTCAGGAGGAATTAGGACATTTTTAATTATTATGGTTGTGCTTGTACCCAGCATGAGATAGCTGTGGCTAGAGTGGAAACAATGGTAGCCCTGCATCAAACCCAACAGCCAGCAACTGTAGAAGATAATTTGGATAAAAAACCACTATCTATATATTGCCAAGACTTTAGAAGAACGACAAAATGCAACAACGCACACTGGCTCTGAGTGCTCATGACCACATAAAAGACAAATAAAAGAGAGCAGCTGTAATAAGGGACTATTAAGAAAGAAATTACCTTCACAGACTGGACAGCACTCTCCTTCTGGCACATAGTACCTGTCGCAGTGCAGCTCGCCACACTGGGCTGAGAAACAAATCGAGACGCCACCTTGACATCGACAGAAACGACAGGCATCCATTCGAAACATGTCTCCATCATAATACTCCACACTGTTAAATATGCAAGCTGGTTTCACTTCTGAAAGTAGTAAAAAGAAAAAAAGTGGATTTTGTAGTTTTAAATAATTTTACAAACACAACCAAAGAAGAATTCTCTCTCATAAGAATATCTGCCCCTAGCAAAAATACCAAAAATCCCTGGTGAAAGGCTGTGCTAAAAAAAGGAAATTACTATCTTAAAGTAATTTAAAAATGTGAATTCCAAATATGGCCACCCATTTATTATTTTTATTACTTTACAATGAAAAAGCACCCAACTCAAAGGTTTTGAAGCTCTTAAGAACCCTTTTAAAAACCAAACATATGCCCAACAATTATCCAAAGACCAAAATTACCAGCAACTACATTTAACCTTGACCCCAGCAGAATCTCCACTAGAACCAATGCCACGACTACCCATCACCCAACTCATTATAGGCAAAGGAGAAAAGATGAACTCTGCAGCCCACTTTGAAGGTTAAACTCATACTGCTGGTGACACAAAGTGATACAGAGACAGAGAAATTAATGTCTTTTTTAAACAAAGCTTCCCCCCCCAAAGCAATTATTTTTCCCCTATAGTTTGTGATCTTTCAAATACATAAACTATTTGAGAGTCTGTTTCTTCAATGGGAAGACAGTTAAATACTATTCAAAAATGTTCCCAGGGCAGCAAGATTATTTATAAACAAAATTCTGCACCTTTATAATTCAAGTATTGACTAGAATTAAAATTTACTTATCCCTCTACAATGGTGTTGATCAGTTTTTTCTAGTCTTGCTTAGTTACAAGTTATCAGTACTACCACCTCTCGTGATTTTATCACAACTCTGCTTATGAAAACATGAAAGGCTGCCAACTGACAAATTTTCCTTTATTTAAAATGACCACCATTTCCCATTACTGTCAACAAGTTGGCTGCTTTTTCCTTCCAGTCTATCTGCATGTGGAAGTGAGGCTGCACATAATAAAGTTGGCTGCCACCCTCCCACAGTTTTCAATGAGATTGATGCCATGCTCACAGCCAAAGTTGCTGCCACTTTATGGTTCAGGGGCTGGACAGGACACAGGCCTGTGTCGAGTAGCAGGGACACTATGAACAGTGGGTCGGGAGATTGAGGGGGAGCAAGAGGAAGATTTAGAGGTTGCAGGGAGGCTGAGGGGTCCAAGGATAGTGATGGGATGGGAGATAGAGGGGATAAAATGACAGTTCCCCGAGCTGGGGAGAGGCACGTGGTAGGCAAGGGCCATCTCTCTGAGCAGCCAGGGGAAGGCAGTGCTATTGGACCTTAATTCGCAACGCCTGATCCATAATGTTATTTAATTTTAGATACCATTTAGAAGTTTCTAAAATGTATGAGCTGTAACATTCCTTTCTATCAGAGACCCGCCCACAGTTAGTTTCCCAGTATTACTTGCACCCTAAAAGTTTACAGGTGGATGAATATAAAAATACAAATTAACCAACAACTTCTAAAGACTTTGCTAAACTATAGTTTTTCTGTAAAACAATGTCAAACAAAATGCGTGACTGTATGGTGTAATACCACAATATGAATGGTAATGATCTGAAATGATCCACTAACTCATGAATAATGCTGTGATCCCCAAGTCGTATTAACAAAGCCACTGCACCACTTTATATTAGCACATATTCTGTATATGCCATATATGTTACAGTAGAACTTTTAAATTAACATTTTAGTGAGTTTTAAAAAACTGGAACTATTTCATGAAGAGGGTGAATATCTAGCAACCACTATCACCTCATTCTCAGTTGATGGCATACGTCTTTAGCTCATCAAACTGGTCCACAGTCTCGGGGTCCTTCAGGATTCCTCATGTCTTCTGGACACAGACACAGACACGCACACGCACACTCTTCTATTTACAATTTCCCCATCTTACCATACATGAACCTGGCTAGAATGATGTACAGCTTCATAACCTACAAGATGGACTACGTCAACTTAACATACATAAAGCACTAGTAGATGAAAGCCCATACTATCACATGGGTGTGGCATTTGGGCCAAGTAATCCATAATCTCTAGTCTCTCCCTCATCCAACCAATAAAATTGTTGCATGCACCTTCGCTGTACAGTAATGGTGGCAATTCATGGAGTTACCTCTGATATAAAAATGGTTTCGAGCTCTTGGGATGGCAAATATGCATGCCTTACTGTAGCTGTACACTGCATGGGTGTAATTTGCAAAGTCAAAATAGCTGTGAATTTAAAACAATGGATAACGGATCATGAATCCCAGTGATCCTTGAACATCGCGATATTCTAAACAAAAAGAGGTCTCAACCATGCTTGCAGCTGTTTCCATCGCTTCACATTGCAGCCTAGAATTTCTGAGTCAGTGACATACAGATAGGTGACAATCCTGGAATCTTAAATAAGTGATCACCTCAAGTTTTAAAAGAGCTTCAGTTAGCCCAGAATACAGCAAGCCCACCTCCTTAGCCACCAAGATCACATCACCCCAGCTTTGTTCTCAAGACTGTCCCCTGGGACAAACTGAAGGTAAGTTTTGGCCTAACTATCTTTTGTGTGTGTATGTGTGCACGCGTTTGTATCATATAATTAAATTAAAATTTAGAATTGGCAGGTTTTTGTAGAAAGCAGTAAAATTAACAAAACATCTTAAATTGTGAGGTTAGAGATTTTTTTTCCCCTTCATTTGCCTCTAATATTAAGACAAGTTTTCTTTAAAATTTTACTGCATGTCAGTGACATTTTAAAATATCCCCAACTCAGGTGTCTATGATCAGCTCCAGTCTCAAGGCATGGGTAGGACTGCTACTGTGAAACCTGGAGGTTGAAGCAGGTTCTCTTAGCAATTCTGATGTTTAGTTTATATAGGTCTGTTTCTCTGTCTTTAAGGCATATTATAAAAAACAGAGAAAGGGAGAGATCAGAAGAGGAAATATCATAAGAGCTATTGTGTCCGGGAAACTAGCTATGACCTCATTAGAAAGCGATTCACAAACATTTGTGAAATATTACAAATTGTATGTACTCTGAGCTGCTAGTTTAAAAACTGTTGCTTGAAAAGGAGAAAGTGCTAATAATAAAAAAGGTCTTTAATCTATTTGTTCATTATTTCATTGTTTCTGAGTGTAGCTAACCAGACAGTCTGCAAGTCTGACTAGGACAGCAGAGAAATTCCCTGTCAAGAATGTCTAATTACTGTTAAAAGGCACACAAAAACAAAACAAAACCCTATATCAAACAATAATTGTAATCTTGAAAAAAGACGATAAATTTCCTTAATGAAAAAAAAATTGGAATAAATATCTCACTATGAATCTGCATCTTTGCACCATCAGGATTTGTGACAGGATTTATGTGTATATAATTCTTAAGGCTCTGAGTTAGCCATAATATATTTATCATGAAGTAATTAAGATATAGAGGCAGAATGATTTGAATAGGGCAAACATTTTCTTTAAATTAAAAATGTACTTAAAACGTTCAGTTTCAAATATATCATTGTGCCCTTCACTGCCATGATACCTCAGCCACAATGAGGCGGCAACAGCATTTATTATGAGTTGTATTACCATAAAGCCTAGGAGTCGTAGTCATGGATCAGGACCCCGGAGCATGGGGTCCTCCATGAACTTATCTAATTCTTTTTTGAACCTAGTTATAATGTTTGCCTTTACAACATCCTCTGGCAAGGAGTTCCACAGGTAGACTGATAGTTGTGTGAAGAAGTACTTACTAATCTTAGTTTTAAACCTCCTTCCTATTATTTCACCCCTATTTCTTTGGGTGGTCCCTGGTTTTTGTGTTATGTGAAAGAGTAAACAACACTTCCTAATTCACTGTCTCCACACCACTCATGATTTTCTAGATGTATATCATATCCCCACTTAGTCACCTCTTTTCCAGGCTGAACAGTCCCAGTCTTTTTAATCTCTCTTCATATGGAGGCGGTTCCATACCCCTAATATAATTTTTGCTGCCCTTCTCTGTACTTTTTCAGTTCTAATATATCTTTTTTGAGATGGGGCAACCAGAACTGCACACAGTATTCAAGCTGTGGTGTACCATGGATTTATATAGTGGCATTGTCATATTTCCTGTCTTATCATCTAGCCCTTTCCTAATGGTTCTTAATATTGTTAGCTTTTCTGATTGCCACTACACACGGAGCAGATGTTTTCAGAGAACTAATCACAATGACTCCACGATCTTTCTTGAGTTGTAACAGCAAATTTAGACCCTATCATTTTGTACATATAGGTGGGATTATGTTTTCCACTATGCATTACTTTGCACTTATCAATACTGAATTTCATCTGCCTTTTTGTTGCCCAGTCACCCAGTCTTGTGAGATCCCTTTGTAACTCTTTGAAGTCATCTTTGGAGTTAACAATCTTGAATAATTTTGAATAGTGTGCAAATTTTGCCACCTCACTGTTCACCCCCTTTTCCAGATCATTTATGAATATGTTTAACAGCACAGGTCCCAGCACAGATCCTTGAAGGACCCTGCTATTTACCTCTCTCCATTGTGAAAAGTGACCATTGATCCCTACCATTAATAGAGTGTACTTGAACTTTCAGAAAGCCTTTTTTAAAAATCAGCACTATATTAGCTATCATCCAGTCATCTGCAACAGAGGCTGATTTAAGCAAAAGGTTACATATCACAGTAAGTAGTTCTGCAATTTCATATTTGGGTTCCTTCAGTATTCTTGGATGAATACCATCTGGTCCTGCTAACTACTTCTTGTTTAATTTATCAATGTGTTCCAAAACCTCCTCTAATGATACCTCAATCTGGGACAGTTCCTCAGATATTTCACCTAAAAAGAATGGCTTGGGTGTGTGAATCTCCCTGACATCCTCTGCAGTGAAGACCGATGCAAATTAATTTAGCTTCTCCACAACAGCCTTGTATTCCCAAGTGCTGCTTTAGCATATTGATTGTCCAGGGGCCTCAATGATTGGCAGACTTCCTCCTTCTGATATACTTACAAAAACTAACAGCAACATTGTTTTAGTCTTCAGAAGGCTGC